TGCCCCAGGCGAGCCCCGCAGACAGCCCCATCCCAAACACCTGGGAATTTGGGAGCGTGCACCCGCCCGCAGGCGGTATTGCTGTTGCCCCAGCCATGAAGGCTCCCCCTCCGCCACAACAGTATTTGCTTTTAGAAGGCTGTTCCCCTTCCGAGAGGCCGCCTTTCGACTGTCTGCAGACAGCCCCTGCTTTGACAGGCTATAAATACGGCGGGAGGAAAGCTCCGTACACCAGCGCAGTTTATTAGTTCTGAAACAGAGCTAAAAATAGACCCACGTGGGGTTGCTAAGTCCTCTGGGCAGATGTAATTGTGGATAATCTAGCTTTAAATATGTGAAGGCTGTTTTGACAGCAACAACATTTTAACATATGGGACTGGATAGCACACGAGCAGAACACGCGGCTCCAACGTCACCGGGAAGCGGCGTGTGCATCGCCGGATCCCAGCCCACTGCCCCCGCCCTACAGCTGGGGTTTCTGCAGTAATAAACCCCCAAGTAAACCTAAATACCTTCAGCAAGCCACCGAGCGGGAAGCGCCTCGCCAAGCCTCCCAGGCCGGGAGCACCAGCGGAGCTGCGCCTGTACCCCCAACCCCAAAACTTGATACGGAGAGGGCTTACCAGTTAAATGGCTGGAACAGCCCAAGTCCTCAATGCTGGCAGCGCCTTCCTCCTCCTGGGAAAGCTTCCTCCGTCCCAGGCAGGCTTTGAAACGTGCTGCAAGGATGCTGCACGGGGTTGGGTGTCTCCGGGGGCAGCTGGGGCGAGAACCGCCCTTCCACGAAGAGGGAAGCACTCCCGCCTGCTCGCCGGAGATAGCGGGGAGACGTTGGGACGGGCTAGATTTTGTAAATCCCCAGCCAGCCCTGGGGCTGGCCAAGGCAGGGCTGACTGTGCCCCTGCCCGGGGCGAGCCCCCCTGGCTGGGCTCCCTGCTGCTCCCCAACCGCCCGTCCTCCGGCCACCACCTCCTGCACGCCCTCTTTCGTCACCTCCCGCCCACGGCAGTGCCACCCGTGCGAGGGGGCCCCCGCCCCTGCCCCCAGCCACTGGCCCGCAGCCTCCCTGGCACTGGCGAGGGGCTCTGTCCCCGCAGGGATGCGGGCACGAGACGCAGACACGAGGGCTCATTCTGCCTGGGATGCTGCGCCCGGCCATGGGCTCCAAGCTGCCACCACCCTGCACGCCCGATGGAACAGGGACCTCCTGGGGGGGCGGAGGAGCAGCTTGGCTGGGGAAACCTTAGAGGAGGTAAAGGGGGTTTACACCGTCATTTTGAAGGGATGGTACCATCTCAGGGTGCGCCCTGCCTCCTCACCACTGCGTGAACACAGGGAAACCCCGCGGGACCCACCCAGCACCTGCAAGGACACTGCTGGGTCGTGACCCATCGCGGGTGGTTTAAGTTTCCAGAAAAACTTTACGAAGAATCAGGGTGAAATTAGAGTTGGGCCCGAGAAAGATGGCCTAGGAAAAGCTCAGAAGAACTTGTGCCATATGCACATCAACAAAAATGACTATAACCAACAACAGCAACATCAGAAAGGGCGAGGCATCGCTCCACGGAGAGAAGAGTGTCCACAGCCGAGGCGATGCATATTAAACCACCTTCGCCTCAGCTGGGTGCCCAACTAACGCTCATCCATGCACAGACCCATTTAAAGACCCTGCCCAGCACTCGACTGGGAGCCTGGACCAGCCCGCACCTCGTTTTGCCCCTCCAGCCCCAGTGCTGATTTTAAGTGATTTTAAAGTTTGCTCAGAGGCCCAGGGCGTCCTTCGTGCTCCGGCCCCGTGCGCTCAGTCCTCCTCCTCCCTTTCTGCACCAGAGCCGAGGCATCTGCCTGCCCCGGC